CAATAAACAACTCATTAGCGTCTCATAACTAAAATCATAATCCAAGCTCGTCATCCGTAGTTCCGATTTCCTGTAATTCATTATAATTCATTGCACTGCCTATTCAAACGCCTGTTCAAATAACCAGGTTTTCACTTTCTTCCAAAATGCCATTAATGAGGGAGCCGATCTAATGTCTGTGGGAAGGACGTTTCACAGCCGAGGGGCCACCACTGAGAAGGCCCTGTCCGTCGTCCCCGCCAGCCGTGCCCGAGTTGCAGGCGGGATCGAGAGCAGGGCCTCCCCAGAAGATCTTAAAGTCCTAGTGGGTTCGTAGGTGGAGATGCGTTCGGATAGGTAACTTAGGCCAGAACCGTTTAGGGCTTTATAGGCCAACGCCAGCACTTTGAATTGTGCCCGGTAGCAAATTGGTAGCCAATAATACTTTATTTGTACCCCGCTACCATCTCCCCAAGGGACTCGGTGTGGCTTACATGAGGCCAAGCCCGCGTACATCAATAAAATGAAGGCAGTAAGAAAATAATAAATACAAAACAGTAAAATAAATCTCAAAACAAACATAAACAATAACAATGAACAATAACGTACAAGCATGTAAAAACCTATGGCCGGGCCAAATGTAATAATTTAAAATTTAAAAAATAATGCTGGGCATGAACAAGGGAGGGTATAACTAGGATAGGGTTTTCAAAGCAAGATGAGGGCGCACGCGCGATCCTAAATCAATGTTAAAGTGCCTTTGAAGGCATATTGCTAAGAGTTAAATCTTGGAAGTGGCAGTTGACTTTGAAGGATGGTGGCCTTGCAGCCTTGCTGGAAGAATAAGGAAAGAAGAGCAGGATATGACATCGATGAAAAGAGAATGGTTCTGTCAACGTATCTGTCCAGTGTATCTGTCCGAATGGATCTCCCTCTACGTCCCACCTCAGAGTCTAAGATCTTCTGGGGAGGCCCTGCTCTCGACCCCGCCTCTATCACAAGTGAGACTGGCGGGGACGAGGAGCAGGGCCTTCTCGGTGGTGGCCCCTCGCCTGTGGAATTCACTCCCCAGGGAAATTAGATCAGCGACATCCCTCCTTTCCTTTAGGAAAAAACTGAAAACATGGATTTGGGATCAGGCATTCGGACAATCTGGCAGATAAAGAAAGGACTTTGAGAATGGCCAGGAATTGACTACGTGGAATGGAATTATGGAACTCTGAACGCTGAGCATGAGATTAGTTTTACTGATTGTGTTATGTACCAATTATTTTTAACTTGATAATTGTTTTAATTGCTGTTTTGTATGTATGTATATCTTGCGTAGGCATCGAATTGTGCCTTTTTGTAAGCCGCCCTGAGTCCGTCCGTCCCCCGGGGGGGTTGAGAAGGGCGGGGTAGAAGTACTCAAAATATATAAATAAATGTTGCCTTCTGTTTACTGGCTCTTAAAATATATGGAAGCACCTGCAATATGAAGATGCTGTTCTAATGTATATGACCATTTTGGCATGGGGGGGGGGGGGAATTAGTCCATAACAGCTGTCCACCCCTATAGTAGTGGAATATGGGATAGCAGGCTTCTGATTAAGTTGTCGATCCCAGAGCGTGGACTTGACATGCCAACTCATTCCATTTGTACTATTTAAATCAGTGCTTCTCAAGCTTCCTAATGCAGTTCCTCATATGTTGTGGTGACCCCCAACCATCACATTATTTTTGTTGCTCCTTCATAGCTGTGATTTTGCTCCTGTTATGAATCCTCATGTAAATATCTGATATGCAGGATGGATTTTCATTCACTTGACCACATTTGGCACAAATACCTGATACACCCACATTTGAATCCTGGTGGGGTTGGGATTGATTTTGTCATTTGGGAGTTGTAGTTCCTGGGATTTATAGTTCACCTTCAATCAAAGAGCATTTTGGTATCCACCGACAAAGGAACTGAACCAAACTTGGCACACAGAACTCCCACGAGCAACAGAAAATACTGGGAGGGTTTGGTGGGCATTGACTTTGAGTTYGGAGTTGTAGTTCACRTACATCCAGAGATGTAGGACTCAAACAATGYTGGATCTGGACCAAACTTGGRACAAATACTCAATATGGCCAAATGTGAACACTGGTGGAGTTTGGGAAAAAGAGTTGGGAATTGTAGTTGCTGGGATTTATAGTTCACCTACAATCAAAGAGCATTCTGAACCCCACCAACAATGAATTAGTGCAATGAATGGTAATGACATAGGAATGGAACAATGGATGACGAATCTGGATCTTGTTTTTTAGTGATGAGACGCTAGTGAATGGTTATTATAGTAATTGTGTATTAACTGTGTATTAGATTAGGTTGTTAACTGTTTTTATATTGGTGCATTGAATTTTGCTGTTTTCCTGTGTGTTGTGAACCGCTGTGAGTCGCCTCCGGGCTGAGAACAGCGGTATAGAAGCAAAGTAAATAAATAAATAAATAAATAAATAAACAAACAAACAAACAATAGAATCGGACCAAACTTCCCACACAGAACCCCCATGACCAACAGAACTTACTGTGTTTTCTGATGGTCTTTGGTGACCCCTCTTGACACCCCCTCAGGACCCCCCTAGGGGTCCCGACCCCCAGGTCGAGAAACACTGATTTAAATGGTTTTTAATCTAATTTCAATGTTGTGACTTACTATGTAACTGTTGCTTGTTTGTTGTATATGTGGGGCATTGAATTGTTGCTGGCTGTAAGCCGCCCTGAGTCCCCCTTCGGGGGTAGAGAAGGGCGGGGTAGAAATATCTGAAATAAATAAATAAATAAACTCTGTTTCCTGCACCCCCCCCCCCTCCCATAAACCACCTTACAAATAGTGTCTAGAAAAACCTCATATAAATGAAATGGAGACAAACACAGAAAAATTACCATTTACCACTTACCATTTTGTGCAGCCTGTCAGGTCCAAACCAGTCTGAGCCTTCGTGCAACGGATGGCCGTGCGAATGAGGACCTTGGAGTCTGCTGCTGGGTCGGGGCCATCCAGAGAAGGGGACCACTCCCCTCCTATCAGCACCGTTTCGTCCGCTTTCTTTCCCAGCAAGAACTGAGGACAGAACAACAGATGCATGCCTCCTCAGCACACTATCGAGTCACACACTCAGATCGTGGGGTGAATGCAGGAAGAGGCTTGGAATGAAACAGGATATATGTGACCAGCTGTCCCCTGCCACGCGTTGCTGTGGCCCAGTCTGTGTATATGTATTTCGTGTGTTTGTAAATATGTATAGATGTGTGTGTATATATTTGTGTATATGTGTATATATGTGGTTTTATGCATGCATTGTAATGTATTTCTTATTTTTTGGCTTTCAAAGTCTCTTCTGCTGTGTTTTCCAGTGTTTTTATGAGTGATGGTCACTTATTGGCCTGAGAGGTGTCTTGTGTCCAAATCTGGTGTCCATTCATCCAGTGGTTTTTGAGTTATGTTCAACCCACAAACTAACATTACATTTTTATTTATATAGATTATATATTATGCTAGTCATCTTCTGCCACGCGTTGCTGTGGCCCAGTCTGTGTATATGTGTTTTCTGTGTGTATATGTGTGTATGTATTTGTGTATATGTGGTTATGCACATGCATTGTTATGTATTTTTTTATTTTTTGGCTCTAAAAGTCTCTTCTGCTATGTTTTTCAGTGTTTTTATGAGTAATGGTCACTCGTTGGCCTGAGAGGTGTCTTGTGTCCAAATTTGGTGTCAACTCATCCAGTGGTTTTTGAGTTACTGTATATACTCGAGTATAAGCCTAGTTTTTCAGTCCTTTTTTAAGCTGAAAAAGTCTCCCCCGGCTTATACTCAAGTCAATGTTATTTATTATTTTACTTTGTTGTTGTTATTACTTTTACATTTATTATTTTATTATTGTTATTGTTACATTTATTATTTTACTGTATTGTTATTATTACATTCCATTCTTTTACTCTATTGTTATTATTATTATTTTACTCTATTATTATTGGTGGACATGTAAGCATATTTACATTGAAGAAGGTTAGAATAATGGTTTAATCAAAGTTGGACAGTCTTATCTTGAATTACAATTTCATGTAAATATTCAAAAATATTTAACCTACTGATGCCTAAATATTAAATAAAATATTAAATAAACAAATAAACTATTATTTTATTTTTATTATATTATTATATTAAATAAATAAAATA